GGGAGGCTGAGGCAGGAGAATTGCTAGAACCCAGCAATTCTCAGGTGATGAAGGTTGAAGGTGAAGGTTGCAGTGAGCCGAGACCGCACCACTGCACTCCAGCCTGGACAGCAGAACAAGACTCTGTCTCTAAAAAAAAAAAGAAAAAGAAAACATGGGTTGAGTACTGAGGGAACTCAGTTATTTTCCTGTGTCTCTGGTTGTGCCCTTTGAGACTGCATTTTCTGTGGGCATCAACCACACCTAATTAAATAGGACACCAAAAGCTGCTACGTAATATACATCAAAGAGACGGTAGCAGCTTTAACACAGAGATGCCACCTCCTGCTTTCAAATGCATTCCTGTCTTGAAAGTTGAACAGGATTTTGACAGAGCCCCACTATGTGGAGTAATGCTGCTCTTGTAGAAAGTTGCTACATTTCCATCCAGAAACATAGGGCGTTATGGCACAGGGGGTGTCCTGAGCATTCTGATGATGCAGAGCTACGACTCTTGTGTACATGTGTGTTGGAACCACTGAGAAAGATGTGTTGCTTTTGTTCCCTATAGTAGATTTTCCAACACCAAAGACTGAGCTGGTCCAGAAGTTCCACGTGCAGTACCTGGGCATGCTACCTGTAGACAAACCAGTCGGTATGTGAAACGTTTATTGTCTTTCCACTTTGCAAGTGTGCGGGAGCTCACAGGAGGCGTTCGCCCTCCCTCCAAGGAGGGTGAGGTCGGCTCTTTACTCTCGTGCCTTGTCTTGAATCAAGCTGTCACCCTGTCACCTGCCAGAGAACATAAACGGTCCCGATCAAAAGATCAGTAGAGGGACAGGCCCTGCTGCTTTGACCTGCCATCCCCAGCGTACAGGACTTGAGCAATACAGACATGGATTTCTTGTGTGCCCAGAATTCTAGAGCTGTGTGAGCCAGGGCTGTGGAAGAGCTCTGCTGCTGTGAAACGAGGCCTCCATCTCTGAGGCCGGGGCACCTGCTTCGTGTCTCGTCAGCTGGCGGGCCAGGAGAGAGGGCTGCGGAGGCTTCATGCTGTCAAGGAGTGACACAGTAGTGGCACACACAGCATTCAGCTCACTTGCCGGTGGCAGAATGTAGTTGCTGGGCTATACCAAGCCAAAAGGAGACTGGGAGATGGAGCCTTCACCAGGGTTAAAAAAGGCTGTGGAGAAATCGCAAGCCGCATACACTGCCGGGGGGCTGTAAGATGGTGCAGCTGCTTTGGAAAACAGTCTGGCATTCTTCAGAAGGTGAAACATAGTTACCTTAGAACCAGCAGCTCAGTTCCTAGGCATAGACCCAAGAGAAATGAACAAAAACGTGTATGCAAATGTTCACAGCAGAATTATTGATGAGAGTCAAAAAGTGAAACCACCCAAATGTCCTGACAAATCCACTGACAGTTAGATAAATAACAGGCAATACTTCCATACAGTGGAGTTTTATTTGGTGATACAAAGGAGTGAAGGACTGAAGTGTGCTATAGCATATATGGATGAAGCCTGAAAACATGCTATGAGAGAAGTCAGTCCCAAAAGACTGCGTACTGTGTGATTCCGTTCATACGAAACGTCCACAATAGGCAGATCTCTAGAGTCAGAAAGTAGGTAAGGGTCGCCTTGGGCTAGAGGCTGGAGGGCGGGGGGAAATGGAGAATGACCCCTGCCAGGTACGGGGTTTCTCTTTGGGGTGATGAAATGTTCTCAAATTGATTACGGTAGGTCCAGCATGGTGGCTCACACCTGTAATCTCAGCACGTTGGGAAGCCAGGGCAGGTGGATTGCTTAAAGTTCAAGACCAGCCCAGGCAACATGGCAAAGCCTCATCTCTACAAAAAAAAAAAAAAAATTTAAACAATTAGCTGGGCATGGTGGCATGTACCTGTACTCCCAGCTACTCCGGAGGCTGAGGTGGGAAGATCACCTGAGCCTGGGAGGTCAAGGCTGCAGCGAGCCGTGATCATACCAGTGCACTCCAGCCTGGGTGACAGAGCGACACCCTGTCTCAAAAAAAAATTGATGATGGTGATGGTTGCACTCTGTGAATGTACTAAAATCCACTGGATTGTACACATTACATGAGTGAATTGCATGTGAATGATACCTCCAGAAAGTTGTCACTCCCACCCCTATCCCCCAGAAAAACTGGGAGCAGCTGGCAAAAGGGCCCCTCTGAAGGGGGGGATCCACTGTAAAGGAGCCGAGAGATGGCGAGGGTGGGGAGAGGCTGAAGGGCCGTGGTCTGCTTATATAGCCAGCGTGTCAGCACCAGGTGCCTGGAGCTTCTCCTGACTCTCCTTTCCTACTGAAAAGGCTGGTCTTTCTGTCTTTCTGTCTTTCTTTCTTTCCTTTCTTTTTTTTTTTTTTTTTTTTTTTTTTTACAGAGTCTCACTCATTTGCCCAGGCTGGAGTACAGTGGTGTGATCTCAGCTCACTGCAACCTCCGCCTCCTGGGTTCAAGCAATCATGTCCGGCTAATTTTTGTATTTTTAGTAGAGACAGGGTTTCACTGTGTTGGCTAGGCTGGTCTCGAACTCCTGACCTCGAATGATCCTGCCTCAGCCTCCCAAAGGGCTGAGATTACAGGCACGAGCCACTACGCCCAGCCAAAAGCTGGTATTTCATTCCTGTTGCGCAAACATGAGAATGAAGTGTCCTGGCTTTTATTAAAAAAGATCAGTCTGGGTGTAGCTGTTATTGGTGATTTGGGCCCACATTTGAGTGTGGTAAGTGGCTTTAGGACACTTTAAATTATCCTTTTCTGTCCCCAGGAATGGACATTCTGAATAGTGCCATAGAAAATCTCATGACCTCATCCAACAAGGAGGATTGGCTGTCAGTGAACATGAATGTGGCCGATGCCACTGTGACTGTCATCAGTGAAAAGGTGAGAAGGAATCTTCGATGGCATTGGCATGTCTGGGTTACAGTAAGTATAAGATACAGTGGTTTTCTGTGGAACTTAGGAACATAGTCAAGGCTGGAGTTGTGCGTCCTTGATTAAGATGGCCTGCATTTGAAAGATTTGGCCCTTTGTCTGGGTCTAAATCTGTGCGTACCTCTGTTTTCCTGTGGTCTGAGAAACTTCTCTTCTGGTGCTCCTGATTCTGTCTTCCTCATGACTTCCGGAGACAAGTTGTTTGCTAGAGGTGACAGTGTGAGGCTAGCAGCCACTCACTCTCAGGGCGCCCATGTTGCCTGGGCTGTGTGATCTGGGGCTGGGAAGCAGAAGATGCTTCCATTCGGGAGAGCCCTGTGACTCTCTCAGTAGCAGAAGGAGCTACTGGCTGTCTTGAGAGAGGCCACATTAGCCTCAGCCCAAATTATCCCAGTTTTGTGGTTGAAAAAATTGAAGCATAGAGAGGCTCAGTCATTTGCCCAGCCTCACACAGTTGGAAGCAATGGGATCAGGACTCAAATCCAGGCAGCCTGGCCCAGACTCGAGCCTACTTTTCTATTCTGCCTCTGTGAAGCACCTGCCATGGAAAGACCACCAGTCATCAGCCTGCTCCACGGCCGCCCGGTTCACCCTGGAGAGAGGAGCAGGGTGCGCGTTGCCTGCCTCCAGCTGGCATGCTGAGCTCTCCTCCGCTCTTCAAGCAGGTCCCGCCCTTCCCCACCCCAGCGTCATCGCAAGCACTGCACTCCATGCTCCACCCTCTGCCTACCTGACCCTTACCCAGATCTCCACCACAGCCTCCTTCCTCCTCAGAAAACTTCCCAACCTCTCACACTAGCGTACTTTGCTCATTAAACACTCCCAAGGCACCAGAGTGAATATTTAATAAGTCAAGATGTTAATGATCCAAAAGTCAACATTTTGGATGTGTTTATTAACTCAGAACTTGCATATGGTTCTTGCAAAGGATGTAGTGTTCATCCCTATAAGAAAGAATTCTGAACATTTCTTTAGCTGCCTCATATGGATCCCAGATGGACACCAGTTTGCCAGAAAGAAAAGAAAAAAACAATTTGACAACTTTTTGTTGATTTGGCAGTTTTTTGTTTTATATGGTTTTAGATGGAAATGTGATTCAATGTGTTGTTTAGTTTGGGTAACAATCACTGGACGAAGAAAGACACCGTGAATCCCTTTTTTCTGGTGCTCTGGGGGTTTACTTGGGCAAATGGGTTTTGGGCCACCGGGTGTCCTGTATTGGGCTAGATGTAACAAGTGTAGACGGCATTGCTCCTCCCGACCGTGAACTCACAGCCACATGCAATAATGGAGAATGGGACGCACATCACAGCCCATGACAGCAGTGCAGTTCAGAGCAAGAATGACCTCCGGAGCAGGGCAGCCACACAGTGATGGCCTCTTCAGACGTTTGGCAAGGTTCCGCTTTTTGAGAAAAACACAGGTCCTTTCTGAATTGGCCTGGCTATACTTTCTGAATGCCAGTTCCTGTGTGCTGCCACTCTAAGCCTGATCCTGGCACCTCCTGATTGGATGCCGCATAATGTCTCCTGCAGAATGAAGAGGAAGTCTTAGTGGAATGTCGTGTGCGATTCCTGTCCTTCATGGGTGTCGGGAAGGATGTCCACACATTTGCCTTCATCATGGACACGGGGAACCAGCGCTTTGAGTGCCACGTTTTCTGGTGCGAGCCTAATGCTGGTAACGTGTCTGAGGCCGTGCAGGCCGCCTGCATGGTGAGTAATCCCGGTACAGGCTGTTGAGCCCTCCCGCCTCTGCTCATCTCTAATATGCCATGCATTAGAGCAGAATCCCTCACGGAAATGGAAAAAACCCTATCCCTAAAGTAATGCTTTACTTTATAACGCTGTCATTCCTAGGGCCAGAATCAGTTATGAGAAACAGATTACATCTCAAAAGGCCAGGACTCCTGAAAGAAGTGGGCCAGATAGAGGCTCCGACGAGCTTCACAACCACCAGCTTGATGACTGTCAATCCTTGATCCCAGATCAATTTCATACGTGAAATGTTGGTCATGCATGAGTTGGTACTGTTTGGATTCAATTCAGCACTTTAAAAATCAATACATTGAATGACTTTTATTTCCAGTGATTGGTTTCTGTACACTGTTCTTATACATTTTATTTATATCGATTAACTCAGTTAGGTAGTTGTTCTATTTTATTTATGAGGAAATAGAGACTCAGAAAAGTTAGAGAATGGGCCCCAGGGCTTGTCGGTGACAGAGCCAAGCCTGGATTCAGCCCCAAGTCTGCCAGATGACAAAGCCAGGGCTCTTTACACCACATGGATACTTGGAAACAAACAAGAACACCTCATTATTCCTCCATCATATGTCCTTTGTGCCTCTCTTACGCCAGACACTGCAAATAAAAATGAGGGAACTGGGCTGGGCGCAGTGGCTCACGCCTATAATCCCAGCACTTTGGGAGGCTGAGGCAGGCAGATCACTTGAGGTCAGAAGTTTGAGACCAACCTGACCAAATGTAGATGCCCCGTCTCTACTAAAAATACAAAATTAGCCAGCATGGTGGTGCATCCCTATAATCCCAGCTACTCAGGAGGCTGAGGCAGGAGAATCACTTGAACCCGGGAGACAGAGGCTGCAGTGAGCCGAGATCACGCCATTGTACTCCAGCCTAGGCAACAAGAGGGAAACCCATCTCAGAAAAAAATGAGGGTGCTGTATGAGTGTGGGCACCAGAGCCTATGGGCAGGTGTGTTCTAGCAGCAGGTTGGGTGCTGGGCCCGAGTGGAAGGAGGTGCAGTCCGGATCATGGTGGGCTTAGGATGGTGTGTGGAGGCCTGATTTTCTTCAGCAGGGATCGCTAAACTGGGGATTGAATTGATTGTATTTAGATTTTATTATTTATTTATTTATTGAGATGAAGTTTTGCTCTTGTTGCCCAGGCTGGAGTGCAGTGGTGTGATCTCAGCTCACTGCAACCTTCGCCTCCCGGGTTCAAGTGATTCTCCTGCCTCAGCCTCCCAAGTAGCTGGGAAGACAAGCGCCCACCACCACGCCCGACTAATTTTTTATATTTTTAGTAGAGACAGGGCTTCACCATGTTGGCCAGGCTGGTCTCAAACTCCTGACCTCAGGTGATCCACCCACCTCAGCCTCCCAAAGTGCTGGGATTACAGGCGTGAGCCACCGCACCCGGCCTGTATTTAGATTTTAGAAGAGTATCCAGCAAAAAAAAGAAGACGACAAAGTAAAGGATAGGTTGGAGGAACAAGGCTGAGGTGGCGATCAGGCAGGAGGCCAGTTACCTTCTGCAGGTGGGAGAGAGGAGGAGTGTCCACGCCAGGAGAGCAGCGTTGGGAACAAACAGGAGCAGAGGCTTTGAGAGGCACCGAGCTGCCTGGTTGGGGGAGAACTGCTGCATGTGAAGCCGTGTGCTTCATTTAATTCAGCCTCACACTTGCGGGCTGGAATCTAGGGTGTTCAGCGTGACTGAGATACAATCCTTGCATCGTAGAGCTCAGGTTTAGTGGGCGAGACACAGAAACCCAAACTCTGTTACAGTGTAGAAAGTGCTGTAAATAAAAGTATGAGGATCTTCACTTTCAGCCGGTGCCACATGCCTGTAGTCCCAGCTTCTGAGGAGGCTAAGGTGGGAGCATGGCTCAAACCCAGGAGATCAAGGCTGCAGTGACCTGTGATGGCACCACTGCAGTCCAGCCTGGGTGACAGAGCGTGACCCTGTCTCAAAAAAATAAACAAGAAAAATAAGTATGAGACTGTGCTGGATTGAGAAGTAACTGGGAAGAAAAAGACCTGGAGGCCCTAAAAGCAGATAACTTACAAAGTTTGCCAGTGAGGGGGAGCTTGAAGGGCGGGTAGCATTGGAGGGTTTGTTCATGTGTTTATTTCAGGACAGGAGAGGCCTGCCCCTCCCTGCTATTTTTTTTAAGAGATGGAGTCTTGCTGTATTCCCCAGATTGGTCTTGAACTCCTCCCTGGAACGACAGGGGAGCACCGCCATGCCCAGCTAGGTTTTCTTTTGTGGAAAATGGTGGTAGATAAAGAACCGAGGAGGTTGAGTGCAGTAGCTCACTCCTGTAATCCCAATACTTTGGGAGACTGAGGCGGGTGGATCACTTGAGGTCAGGAGGTTGAGACCAGACTGGCCAACATGGTGAAACCCATCTCTACCAAAAAATACAAAAATTAGCCGGGTGTGGTGGCATGCAGCTGTCAACTCAGTTACTCAGGGAGGCTGAGGTGGGCGGATTGCTTGAACCTGGGGGCAGAGGTTGCAGTGAGCTGAGGTTGCACCACTGCACCTCAGCCTGGGTGAAAAAGTGAGACCCTGTCTCAAAAAAGAAAGACCCTGTCTCAAAAAAAAAAAAAAAAAAAAAAAAGCCAAGGGGAGGGACTTCACCTCTGAATTAGTTAGAGGCCTTTTACTTTGGGATAGTCCAGAAGATGCTGAGAACCAAGAATGGGTGGAGCTTAGGGAAGGGAAGGGAGTTCTCTAACCGCCCCCAACTCCCCCATACAGCATATTGTGAGGTTATGAATGAAGGGAAAGTTTGCACCTGTAATTCCAGCTACTCGGGAGGCTGAGGTGAGAGGACCCCTTGAGCCCAGGTCCAGCCTGGGCAACATAGAACGGCCCTATGTCTAACAAAAATGTTAAAAGGATGAGGTGGGAGAGCAGATGGCAAAGGTGGGGCACAGAAAAGAGCCACTTGACCTTTATCATTTGAAACAGAGCAGGAAGGAGGGAGAAGGGAAGGCTGGCGTTAGACGCTTGTTATCTGGTGTCACACTTACACCATCCTTTGTGAGACTGGCTAACTTCCCCCAAGAACTGTGGGGCCAGGATTGTAACTCAGACACCCTGAATATGCAGGAGCAGGGCTGGGATTCAGGGGAGCAGGGACAGTAGAGGAGTCAGGTGAACCCGCTGACCAGGTGCAGGGAGTTGATGAGATAAAGGAGATCTGTGAAGAAAATAGAAAATGGGAGATTTCAGCCAAGCGAAAATGGATGACGACTATTTTGGTATTTTATGAAGTTGCAACAAATGATAGCAGATGGTTTTAGTCATAAAATGAATGGCTTTCAGACTTAATTATACGTTTTAAGTGATAACGACAATGAGCTTTATCTCTTGGCTACAGCTGGTTTTCTGATTCTCAGATTCATTTTCCCTCTTGGAAACAACTTTTACTCATTTGCTTCCTATTTTAATTGTATCACTGCAACGAGTGGACACAGCTCAGCCAATCTAGTGTAAGGCATACTAGTAAAATCAAACCGTTCTTCCCTCCCGCCCGCTCTGAATCCAGTGTTTCTGGCTCAGGGGCTTTCTTCTTGGTTCAAATCTGCATGATTCTCCATGTGAAAGATCCATATGTGAATTTATACCATGTGAATATCTATTGACACTAACATTCTTTTGAATCTACTTAATTTTTAGGCATATTTTACAGCTGTGTGGTATAGGCCCAACAGAAGACATTTTGGCAAAATTTAGAATAGAACAGAGAGGGATCCTTTATGAAATTCAACACTTAGGTGCGGCTTTGATTCACGCTGCATGTGTGTGACTACGGTTTGAAATTCCAAGTCCAGAGTCCCAGGTTGCCATGTATAAATCCGTGCTTTAGATGTGTGTGGTTTGAGTTGTGATGTGGGCCTAGTAAGATACCTTACACAGAGGAGACATGTAATCGATCATCATTTTTCATATGATTGATTTGAAAGGGGTTGTTTTGTGGCCTAAAAGGTATGATAGAACACTGCACCATATCCTTCCCCCAGAGTCTTGCTTCTTACAGGGACATCAGCCTGTTCCATTACTAAAGAGCCTGTTAATATTTAAGTTGATTTTTTTTTAAAAAGCCATGGAATGACAGTCCTGCCTTGGTATATACATAGGGGATTGATTCTAGGACCTCTGAGTATACCAGAATCCTGCATATTCAGGTCCTGCAGAACCCACGTATAGGGAAACTCTGCCCTGTGAATAATTGGGTTTTGCAAACCGGGAATACTATTTTCAATCTGTGTTTGGTTGAAAAAAATCCTCATATAAGTGGACCTGCACAGTTCAAACTCTGTTGTTCAAAGATCAGCTGTATTGTATTTTCATTATTTGTTTATTTTGAGACAGGGTTCACTCCGTCGCCCGGGCTGGAGAGAAGTGGCCACACTCACAGTTCACTGCAGCTTTGACCTCCCAGGCTGAAGCAGTCCTCCCACCTCAGCCTCCCAAGTAGCTGGAACCACAGGCGTGTGCCACCACACCTGGCTAATTTTTGTATTTTTTTGTAGAGACAGGGTTTCATCATGTCCCCCGGGCTGGTCTCAAACTCCTGGGCCCAAGTGATCCGCCTCCCTTGGCCTCCCCAAGTGCTGGGATTACAGGAGTGAAACACCATGACTGGTCAGGTCAACTGTATTTTTAAATGTTTGGATGACAAAAAAAAATTTTTTGATAACTTTTAACTTTTTATCTAATCTTAAATAATTACTTACCTTCCCATTATGCAAAACCAAGTGGACTACATTGTTATATTTCTGAAAAACAGGAATTATCCCTTGTGCCAGTGCTAATGGATTTTTTAAAATTAATCCATAAAGATTTAGACTTGTATGTAAAATGTATCCCGAAATCTTAATACCTCATCTTTTTAATTAAAACAGGAAATAGGGAAGGAAACAAACGTTTTTGAATGCCTTCTGTGTTGGTAGACCTATTTCAGGCGTTCCTCAAGCATTACCAGCATTCCTTATTTAATCATAACACCCTCTCTAAACAGTGCCTTCTTCAGCCATTTTACAGTTGAAGAAACTGAGGCTCAGAAAGATTTAATAATTTGCCTGGGGTTCACAAGTGATAGACCTTAGATTCAAACCATGCCTTTCTACTGTGCTGTCAGTGCGCCATGAGTACCCACCTAGATCTGCATGTCTCTGATGAAAAGTGTAACACTCTCTCCCAATGCTTTCTGGTTTCATTAGCTCATTGACTGTGAGGTGTATTCGCTGCGGACTGTCAATATAGAGGACACTTGGAGAGTGGAAATGGATGGAAGGAAAGGGTGGCAAAAGCCAAAACCCCTTTGTTGAGCCTAATATTTTAGGAGAATTTAAAGCACTCACATATAGAAAAAAATAACTCTTGGATTTATGTTTAGGAACTAGGTCATTAACCTTTGGGAGTCAATGTATGGGTGATGACTTAAAGTCATATTAAAGAAGAAGAAATAATATGTCATTAATTACCTTAAAACACGTTTTGTTTTATTTCAGTTACGATATCAGAAGTGCTTGGTAGCCAGGCCGCCTTCTCAGAAAGTTCGACCACCTCCACCGCCAGCGGACTCAGTGACCAGAAGAGTCACAACCAATGTAAAACGAGGGGTCTTATCCCTCATTGACACTTTGAAACAGAAACGCCCTGTCACCGAAACGCCATAGCTGCACATGGGAAAAGACTCGGCTATTTACCTGAAAATTGACTAGCTACACTAAAGAAAATGAACTCTGCCATCTGACCTTCCATCCAGTTGCTGATGCTTTGTCTTCAGAGAATTTACCCTTAACCAAGCAGTGTTAGACAAGCATGTTCTCTCGTCTTGCCACCATCATGTGATATGAAAAGAAGCATGAATAATTTTTTTTGCTGTAAGTTACATCATGCGCAGTGGAAGGTCTTTTTCTTATTGTAAATATTGTGAACATTACTTAACTTCACACATACAGAGAGAAGAATGTGGCCACACCCCTCCTAGTGAACTAATGCTGCGTCCTTGGAGTGAATGATGCGTGAGTTAGTTTCACTGTCTTCTTGGCTGGATCTGTCACAAGCAACATTTAAGTCCTACTGCACTTTGCCCTGTTATCCACATTGGAGTAGGCACTGCATAGCAGATACCATTGAATTGCTGTAAAAATAGGATGGCGAGTTTGTGTTTTAATTTTTCATAAAATTGAACCTGTTGGTTGACAAAATTGGCTGTTGGCATCAGTATAGAAACCAACTGGCAGCTTTCCTTGACAAGCTCTTTGACACATGGACACCATTTCATGTCTACAGCTGTTTGTGGGATGTTGGAAAAAGTGAAACTTCAAAATTGATGAAAAACTAAATTTGAGGAATTAAAATCGAACAAAACATAGCTTTTCTTTTCAGATGGTTTTCAAACTGATTATTTTTAAAAGAGATTAATAAAATCATAATGCATTTTGGGTGGGACAT